AAAATAGTGTCTACCTTGGGAAGCCACGGTGCTGGAGAGGAAAAGGACAAAGAGTTCCCTTTCATACAGAAGAAAATGCACCTTAAAAGCCTTGGAAGAATGCAGATGACAAAAACTGTTGTAAGGAAAAGAATCTCCCACATCTTGGAATAAAGCGGCACTGCTAGAGAGCTAGTAACAACGTCCTTTCCTACCTTCAGGGTAGGAACACATTTTCCCTAGGAAATATTATTAATATGGCATTAGAATCTATGATAACCTCTTGATATTTTCTTTGAGCAAATTAAGAAAGAAAGAATCCAAAACACATGACATTTCAGTTTTAGGAGGGAACTTTAATCTTGGCTTTACCATTATTTTACAATAAACGCTTAAAAACATAAATCAATTTTTCTTCGACAACAGAGAGATAATGTAAAGTTTAAAATCTTAAGCATACCCTTACTCTTGCTAGAGCATCATGCTGTGGTTGCCAGCAGGTTAGTGGCTATACTATGAAGGCAGATTTCTACCCCAATTCAGTTAATTTTTCCAAACCAAAATAAAATAAATAGATCCGTCTAGATACATAGCCTCCAGCCTTGTGTGTGTGCAGCGTGACAAAATTTGCAGAAGATCTGCATAGAGAGAAAAGGATGGAGATGGATATCTTTGGAGTGCCCTTAGGGCTGGTACCTGCCACACAAACTGCATCTCAGTGCCTTGAGAGTCAGCAAAACAGGCTCCCTATAAGCTCATCAACTTTGCGAAGGAAGCTACTAGCAAAAGATTTTCATGCTCACAGAGATAACCAAGTCTGAAATGACTGTACTCTGGAGAAACTTCCCTGCCTCAGAATGTACTGAGAGGTTCTCTGACTCAAAGCCCCATGTAAACTTCAGCTCTCAGGGAGGAGAGCTGGGAGCTACATCCTTTAGAAAGGGCTGATTGTATTTCCTTTCCTTTTCACTTAATCATCTCTGAAAAGGGAGCAACTTCTCAGTCCATTGCCTCTAGGCATCACCACCAGCACCTCCACTCCCTTTTAGGGAGTGATAAGAAGTAGGGGTTCATTATAAGCAGAGATAATCATTTCTGCTCATCTGCTCTAGGACCCAAAGCTCTGAAAACATTCAGCTTTATCCCTTTTCAATATCACTGAAAATCAGAGACCAAGGGACTTTGGAAAGAGCTCCCCATTTGCTCCACCTAGTTCTCAACCCTTTAACTGAAACTTTGGAGAAAAATCAAGCTTAACTTTTCTTCCCTTCTTTGATCCCTCTTCCCTCCTTTATTTCTAATTCAGTTTTCCTAAATACAACTTCATTCCCTTTTCTGCAACAAGTAACTTCCGGATTTGATTTTAGTTACAACATGCATGTTGTCTCTCTCTCTCTCTCTGTTTGTGTGTGTGTGTGTGTGTGTGATTTTTCAGAGGCTGATGCTGGAAGTCAGAAGGCAGGCCTCTCTTCTCAAGCTCCGTAGGAGGCCGGAGGGAAGCGGGAGCATCCCCAGGAGCCAATGCCCAAAACCAGGGCAAAAACAACTTTGCAAGATACAGAAAACGGAATGCCCCAGTGGCAGACACGCAGTAGCTGGGCATCTGTGGTTCAGAGCGCTCAGTTTCTGACTTGAAGTCTATGTGGAGATAGTGGGGTATAATCAAGGGAATGAAAAAAGGGGGGCTGGGTTTTCCCCCTCCTCTCCAGCTTTAGTGAAAGTGTTATGAAGTGAGTCAGGCGGCTGGGGATCATCTGACTGAACTTTCTTGAAACTGACACACATTCTTGTCTGCCGGCAACTTGCTCTTGCCTCCTTTGCCCTCACTCTACTCCCCCTTTTCTCCAGCTCCTCTTACTTTCTTAGAAGAAATTTCATCCCTTCCTATGTGGGGGAAAGGGGACTGCCTGACTGCTATGGGTTAACTTGGCTCTGACACTGTCTTTGCCAAGCAAAGATTCTAGCCTAAGAATCTTGAGGGGTAGATTTTAGAGACTTGTTTCTTTCTTTGTACATTTCTTTTCCTGGAACTGCCTCCTCCTTTGCTTTTTAATAATTGTATATAGCATCACTTCCTAACACGTTCCTGACCAGCCTTTCAAACGCATACACTGCTTTACTTGTTTTATCTCATTGCCTTAGTGTGTGTGTGTGTCTATAACTGACTTCATTAAAATTATATAAAGTGCCATTCTAGTTTCCTGGATGACCATATATATATATATATTTTTTTGCTTTTACTTCTATGATTATTATTGCCATTATTTCTTTCCAGGAATTTCTATATGATTTTGATAAGCATCATCATATTTAGTGTTATCAGCAAAGACACAAGCCCAAAAGTGACATCTTTTCCATGAATCCAGGAAAGAAGAAAAATCCACTCAGTTCAGATAAATCCTGGCAATTCCCAAAGGGAAAAGGTACGTGCTTGATGAGAAAAAGAATGAAAAAGGAGGGGGGACTCTACTACCTGCTTCTCTAAATCAGGACATTGCTCAGTCAAATTAAATCCAAAGAAAAACACTGACTAGTAATCCATTCACAGCCTATTTTCCCACAGATGATTTGGAAAGAGAAACAGGTAATAATCAAAGTTAGAGAAGCTATAAGCAATGGACAGGGCTGATGTTAAGCGTACGGGATGTGGGCTAAATGCCTTAAAGTGTGCGGTTCAACTTTGCACAACCGAGTGTTGAGGCTTCTCCTAAGTTAGTGGCTGGGCAGAGGGGAAATGTTTGCAGTGCCTATGGCTGCGCACCTCCCTGGCTCTCCGTTCCACCTGCGAAGCCTCAATCAGGCCTCCCTGTTTGCTTGCCCCCCAGTTCCCAGAGAGCCTGGAGCTCTCTCTTTCTCCAGTCCTAGGCTCTGGCCTGACCTCACTGCCAGGCCAGGCTGGTCATCTGTGGCAAACATCCCGAAGGGGATGGGAGAGGAAGGCAAGAAGAAACAAACACTCTGAACAGTCTTTTCTGCAAAAGAACACTTCTGGGAGCCTTACCTTAAATCTCATTCTCTTTTCTCTCAAAAAATGACTGCTTAACATGAGAGGAAGAAGAAAAAAAAAAGGTCTCCTTGACACAAAGCTTTTGTTATCCAGTTGATCAGCAATGTGCTTTAGATAGTTGTAAGTGAGGGGAAAAGGCCCCACAACAGACATTGGTTTTAGAAAATCAATAACCAACATTTAATAAAAGGAACAGAGGAAACACAAGAGAGGAGAGGGGGACATTAGGTATAATTTCAGTGTCTACTAAATTACCCAGAGATGGGGAAGGGGAGGTCTCCTGTGTAAGAGCCACCTTAAATAATGCCAGACACTAGAGTGAAAAAAATTAAATTAAAAAAAGAGAGAGGGAGAGAGACTTAAAAAGAAGCAGCCTGAACTGGATCTCGGAATATATTATTGTACTTGTTTTTTTGTAATACTAAGCCAAGTAAATAGATCAAAGGCAGCACAAAGGGAAAAGGCAGGATAACGTAACGAACAGTTTCTGACTAAAATTCCTCTATCACTCCCCCATATGGCTCGACACCTCCACCACCACAACAAGCAAGACACACACACACACACACATGCACAAAACCTAGAGACAGACAGCGAGAGAGAGAGAGAGAGAGAGAGAGAGAGAGAGAGAAGCATCATTTGTCTCTAATCAAAATTCTCTCGTCTTTGTGTTTTTCTCCCTCCAGCACCCCACACTGGGCCCCCTCCCCGCGCCGCGCAGCTCTAGGGCAGGCGGGGGGCGCGCACAATTGTCTTCTCTAGAGGAAAGTTGCTCCAAGTGGGCCCGGGCGGTCCCCGCGAGGCGCGGGTGGGGTTACAGGAGGCCGGGAGGCCGGCCCAAGCCGCGTTCTCGCGCCCAGCTCTGGAGCGTCTACGCGGCCCCGCATCGGGTGATCAGCTGGGAGCGAAGCGAGCGAGAAGTTTCCTTTCCGAGTCTGAGCTTGTTTGCTTATTTGTTTTGGAGACTGGTTTATTCTTTTTAAACTCAGTATCCTCCGTCAGCTACCCCAAGGCACCCTCTCGCGTCCCCAGTCCTCTCCCCTCCCCCAGGCGCCTTCCGCGCTCTTGCCAATCACTTTTCTCTTTTATTCCCACGATTTTGTTTTGGGTTATACCTACGGTGTCTCTCTCCATCTCTCTCTCTCTCTCTCTCTGTGGTCTTTCTCTCTCCCCTTCCCTGTGTCCTTTTCTCTGCGTCTCTCCAAGATGGACCTACTAAACTGTCAGTCGCCCCCTTCACCTCCCACCTCTGGTCGGTGTGTCCACCTCGCACCCCCACCTCTTTCTTCCTTCCTCTCTCAAGCCTGGATAACGGGCTCCTCCTGCCTATGTAGAAACTGCCGGGAAAAGTCTCGCTGAGCCCCTCGACTCCGCCAGCCTCCAGCGCGGGGGCCCTAGTCCCCTGGAGAGGAGCCACCCGCCCTTGAGCCTGCACAGACCCCGCCAGACCCCCACGGGGCCGGCTGAGTCCCTCCCACCCCGGGTCCCCGCGCGCCGGGCGGCCCCGCTGCCCGGGGACCGTTACTTGGCGCTTGGAGCGGCGGCTGGGCGAATCCGGCAAGAAACTTTGAGCCTTGCTGAGGCACAGACCCGGGTCCCCTCTCCCGCCCGCGCAGTCCCCGAGCCACCCCCGCAACCGCCCCGGGAGCCTGCCCGACCCGGCGCCCGGGCCCCCGCCCTGCCCGGACGCTCCCGCAGCCCGGCCGGGGACCCCGCGGGCCGGGTGAGAGCCGAGCAAGAGGTGGAGGGAAGGCGGCGGCGGAGCTGGGGACGCAGGGCCCGTCCGGACCCCGGCGTCCGGCGCCCCGGCGCTCACTTTGCCCGGCACTTCCCGCAACTCCCCCCCGGCCGGGCGGCCGCGCGCCACGGGCTTCGGCGCCGGCCGCGGAGAGAGGCTCGCCCGCGAGCCCTGGGCGCCGCCGCCGCCTCGGTTCCTTTTCCCTTTCCTCCTCCTTCTCCCCGGGTCTGGAGCCGCGGAGTGGCCCAGAAAAGTTTGGTTGGGACCGCTTCTTACCGTTTTTCCTCCTGGGATTGGCTTGTTTGCGCCTCTTGCACCGGGGGCCATCCGCCATGATCGGCTGCTTCATTGATAAGAGCGGATCAGATGGCAGTTCGCATGGACTCGGCGCCCTGCTTCGGCAGCACGCAGGCTCGATCTAGCAACCAAACACAGCGACAATGTGGGCATCGCCCGCGCCCATTGAAACGCGCGCGGGCCGCCCAGGGGAGCAGGGCCAGGGCCCCGGCGAGCACCCATCCGCGCCCCCCAACGCC